GCAGCTTTCCAAGTTAGATAAAGTCTGTAGTCATAATTACTCCTTTGAAAGATTGTTTGCCAGGCCTTGCTGAATGTGAATGAGAGGAATTCACATTCGTTTAATAAAAGGGGTTTTGTCAGGACCAGGACTCTGCTTCATGCTTTTTGGGGAAGCCTAGGTCAGAACAGGCCTTTCCACATCATAACACAGCTAATAGTAATGCTCAGGTGGGATTAGCTGATTATGAGGCCTCTCATACCCACACATGGATGGATGGATGGATGGATGGATGGATGGATGGATGGAAGAGATACTTTGGTCTAGAGAGAAGAGGACATTCAAACCTCTAATCATTGTCTACCCGAAGAGCAAGGTGTGGAAGTTTGACTTTATGTATATGTTTATATGTATGTATCCTGCAAAAGAAAACAAGTGTGGCAGGTAAATAAAAAGTGCAACTCTCAAAAAGAGTTGATAATACTATGAGGCTGCAAACCCAAATAGTGTTAAACATGATGAGGGTTTGCATGTATTCGTTTCATTTGTATTGATTTATATTCTGCCCATTCTCAAATGGTTTTGGAATTCAGTGATGGATGGAGAAACTGAAATTCAAAACCGGAAACACAATCCTCCTAAACATTTCTTAAAGACTCAAATAAAAATATTGGTTTTCAAACCCATTTAAACCTTAAGCGCAGTTTGTTCCATGCTGGTCCCACCATGGATAAAGTAGAATTTAATATTGGTTGTAAATATAGCAGGGCGGCTACATCCAATCACCATCCTTTCTACTGCACCCGGCCCATATTTCTGATCCATCCTCAAAGACTACTCCACAAATAATGCACTGCATATTTCCTAACATTCCTGGCACAGTATGTTCTAAGGAAAGGAAAGGCAATCTGTCCTAAGACATCAGATACTTCCATCTAACCCAATCCCAGTGGTATGCTAGAGAGCATCTTAGGCCTAAGTTGCCTTTAGCCAAATAGGGTGTCTTATGGCTGGTCCTAAGACAGCCATTTTGTGAACAGGTAGGTCTTCTGTTACAATCATTTGGAGTGGGTCCACTTCACGCCCTCGTTGCAACCTTCCTAAATTTTGCACTCCTAACCTAAGCCAGGAATAATTAAGCTTGCCGGGCCCAAGATCTGGATTACTTCCCAGGGTATTTCTAGCAAGAATGTATCTGAGGAAGGCCCATCTTTCTCCTGTGTCATTTAGGATGAGTCTTTTCTCCACTCTTAGGGAAGGAAAACCTTCTCTGTGCCATTTTTGGATGAAAATATTTCTTTTCCCTCCCTGATCTGATTCAATTATTTTGTCTAGTCCAGGAGGAAAGATATGGATGTAACACTTTATGTTGGCCATGGAGAAAGGTGCTGTCCTGTAGAAAAGGACCTCTTGAGGACAGAGGAGGGATTGAAAAATTTTAACAACCTTTTCTCTGCCTGATTGCTGGGTGGGCATGGCCATGGTGGGTGTGGCCTACTCAGCCTCCTGCACCACAGTGTGTGTGAGGGATGTTTTTACCCTCCGCAGGCTCCGGAGGTGAAAACGGCCTCCCCTGGGCTCCAGAGGCCCTCCAAAGGCCGGAAACGGGCCCATTTGTGGACTTCCAGGAGGCCTGTTTTTCATCCTCCCCAGGCTCCAGATGTATTCTTCGAGCCTCCAGGAGGGCAAAAATGGCCTCCCCCGGGCTCCAGGGGCCTTCCAGAGGCCAGAAACGAGCCCATTTCCGGACTTCCAGGAGGACTTCCTCCCTCTCAAGAGCCTCCACACGGGCCTTGCACTTACCTGGCATCCCAAATGGGCCACGTGGAGACTCCTGGGAGGGGTGGAGCAAGGTGGGCAGGGCCAGCCAGTCCTTGCAATTACCGGTTCGGCAAACCAGATGTAAAATAAGCATCTAGTTCACCCAAACCGGTCCAAACTGGCTGAATCCCTCCCCTGCCTGAGGAGATGGGGAAAACTCATGGACAATTAATCCAGATGCTCCTTATTCGTGATCTAAGGCTTCTTCTAGCATGCATTTTAGCTGTAACATACTGGTTACAGCTAAATGCAGAGTTTTCAAATATGAAAAAAAGAGGAAAAGGACAGAACGGCATATTATACAAGGAAAGAGTTTGGAGGTCAGAAGAGACAAACAATATACATGCCACAGAAGAGAAGCAAAAATTTCATGCCACTATCCAAAAAGTGCAGCAAGTCCAGGTTTAGTATGCCAGTGAAAAGTGATTCCAACTTGGGTATACTTAATTTAGCAGTAGACTCAGCATGGGTGTAACAAAGCTTACTGTTTGAAAGACCATTCCTGTGCTTTCAGTCTCCAAAATGCTGCTTGAGGTTTCTGTGGCTGGAGGGATCAGTTGAGGAGGTGGTGATGAGAGTGAAGGTAGCTTTGCCTGAGTGTGTAGTGCAGGCTGAGGTGAAAACAATGGGTACTGGTGACTGGGAATTTTCTGGAGGTGAGGGGGAATGAAATCATCTAGCGTTGGAAGGGCCAGAAGGAAACCAGGAGACACGTCGTTTGAAATTTCTAAACCTTGGTCAAAATGGCGGAGAGGCGCCGGTGAGGTGCTTGGCCTGGCTTCTTCTCTGCCTGGCTGAATCTGTTGGAAAGACCCTGTTATAATCTCAGTTTGAACTGAGGTGGTAGGAGAGGAGGTGGCGGCCTGTGGGAGACAATACCTTCAGATAATAACAGTATTGAGGCACAGGACATTCAAAGACCCCTACCTCAAAGAAAAGACCTGCTCATGAGAGGAACCTTTGTCCAACGTAGCACATTTTACATAGATGACAACTTCTCACATAGCTCTCAAATATCATCCTCAATCAACAGATCAACTTAAATTACCCTCTATCCTCACGTAATGGCACCTTCTGCCAGCTGCTACATTGGCCCTTATCGAAAATAGAAAGAAGTATCAGAAATAAAACTTTGTTCTTTGTGGCATCTCCTGCCCTGTATGCTACTGAGAATGCTACTGAGAAATATGTGGCTTTTAAAAAAAAAAAATCATATTCCCTGGTCAGCCTAAGCCAGTGATCGTGAACCTTTTTGACACCGAACGCCAAAAGTGAGTGCATGTGCTTTGCACACTCGTCTGGGCTGCGACCCAAAAGAGGAGTTGCCCAGGGGGCAAGCGTGCGCCAGAAAATGAACTTCCAAGTTTTTGGTGCGCACCTGCACACCAGCAAGCTAGTCTTCTAGTTGCTGGTGCGCATGAGCCAGTAATCAGCCAGTCATTGGCACCTCATATCCAATCAGATGGCCACAATGAGATGGCCAGCACGCATGCTCATGCCAGAAAATGGAAGACCAGTGCTTCCAGTTGCTGGCACTGTCGCATGCATTAAGGCCAGCTGGTCATCGTGCACACATGCGTGCCAGAAACCCGGAAGAGGAATGGCCAATGCCACGCGTGTCAGGCAACATGGCTTCACGTGCCACTTCGGGCACACGTGCCATAGGTTTGCCATCACGGGCATGGGCCCTAGGACCTTTGCGTGCTCAATTTGCAAAGGAGTCCTTGGAGTTTCCACAAAATGTGAAATATGATGAGAACCTAGAATGTATAGAGAAAAACATGAAAAATAATAATCTTAGAGGCTAAATCCCATGAAGAAGAGTTAAGGGAACTTGCTATGTTGAGCTAAAAAAAAGTGAAAGGGAGACACTGAAAGGCTAGCATAGGAAAGAAGTTGTGGATATAATTTCTATAGTGCCCAAGAATACAATAAGAAGTTTTATAGACAGTCATCTAAATGTGACATAAGGAGTAATTTCCTGACCCTGAGACCCCTTAAACAGTGGAATAGCCTGCCTTGGAGTCAGGGGTGTTCCAACCAGGTTTTCAAGCAAAGGTTTGACAGCCATTTGTCTAAAATGGTCTGAGGATTCTTCCCCTAGATCAGAGGTGTCAATCTCGATTTCATTGAGGGCCGCATCAGGATTATGTCTGACCAGGATGGGCGTAGCCAGCTCGATGTCACTTCTGTTGGGGGCACCTGTGGTGGCCCGAGCACTCTGCCAGCGAAAACGGGCTCCCAGCTCCCTTTTCGGCTGCCACAGCCTCCCGCAACTCTCTGTCAGTGAAAACAGAGCTCAGGCCCTCCCAAGTTCCATTTTTACTGGCAAAGGATTGTAGGAGGCTCTGGCAGCCAAAAAGGGAGCTCAGGAGCCCATTTTTGCTGGCAGAGCACCGCGGGCCAGTTATTCACTGTTCCAGGGTGGCTCCACAGACCAGATCTAAGTACCCCGGGGGGGGGGGGGGACGACATCCAGCCCCCGAGTCTTGAGTTTGACACCCTTATCCTAGATGGATTGCACCAGAATTCCTTCGAACCCTAGAATTTTATGACACTATAAAATAGAGTGCAATATGCTTTCATAACAACTAGCTGAAACACCAAGGATGCCTTAACAAAATGCATCTGATTAAAAGTGAATCTCACATCTGAATGCGATAAACTATGATTTCTCCTAAATAGTCTAAAATAAAAGTACATTCAGTTAAAGCTATTTTTCCATTACTATGTAATTAATTCATATTTTTATTGCCAAAACCAAACAAGCAAAAAAGAAATTTAGGTTCTAAGAAAAATTGTAAAGAAATATTTAAATAAAATTGGACACAGGACCACAGAATTATCTGCTATTTCTTACACTGCAGTGAAGCAAATTTTGTTAGAATTTATTTCTATAATGAATCTCTCTGCTATCTAAACTTTCAGATTTAGAAGCAAATTATCTAAACTTGAACCCAGTAAGAGTGTAATTAGACTGGAGGAAGGCTAATGGCTGGGAGAGAAAAAAAAGAAAGAGCCCTCCTGTATGTTATTATGATGATGAAGATTATGATTCTCGGAAGGCATATTTTGGAAAGTAGGCAAATCATAATCAAGATTCCAAGTTTATTCTTTTCCATATTTCAGGCAACCTAGAATACAGTGGACCAAATACAGAAGGATTTCCTAACTGAGATCATGCCTGATGCAACAACTGAATAAATCATTTTGGAAACTGACTAAATGACTAAACTTACAAGTCAGAGGTACATCTAAGACACACGCATCCCTCGTTATTCACACCCATCTTCTAGGCTTTCAGTTGTCAGCTACTTACGCGTGGCTTGCTCTCTGCGAAGTTTGGTCTTACACTCCAATAATCCTTCACAGACAGAATCTCCCGATTTGAGTCAACACCAGAAAGTCTTCTCCAGCCATCTGCAAAATGAAGACTTTTGGATTATTTAAACAATCCTTAATGGTGAAGATTTAGGCTTGCATAAACAACAGATTGTTTTTTTTTTTGAGGAAATAGTAAAAACTGAAGCTTTAAATAATTACCTGTGTTGGTTTCTCCTTGCTGTTCGGCTGAATGAACTGGTGACAAGCATCAGAGAGAATAAGAAAGGGGAAGAGACATCATATTTTAATACAGCAGAGAAAGAGCAGGGAAGAGGACGACTTCATTCTGGAACACTTTCCAGCAAGTCTGCCTAATTCCCATAGAAACATGACTCCTTACAACGCCTGACCTTTACAAACACAAAGCCATAGTTCAGAGTAGTGAAGAAACAATTGTTCACTGACATTTCATTCTAGCACACAAAAAAGGCAGCCAGAGTTCTCAGTTAAGGATTTCAAATGCCACACATTATTGCAAGTGGAAGATTTCAGTATTTAACCTATGATGCAGGCTGGGAGCGGAAAATGTATCTGTCCTTCATTAGCCTTGCCGGATAAGATGATTGAGAGCTACAAACAAGCAAGTGCATTTAAAAGCACCGATATATCACATGCTATCTTTGTGGAAGCAGCAAGAACGTGAAGCATAGTGTTAACACTTTAAATGCTTGTCTTGTTTATGCTGCTCTGAAATCAGAACAGTGACATCTACAAACTCTCCTTTTTTGTCGCTAGAAACATTATCACAGCATTGCAGATTTCTAATCTAGATTTCAGGCAAGTTTGTGGTTCCCTCTTTTTTTTTTATGGCTCCTCACATTTGTCTGTATCTGATTTTGGCACCACATATCTTTCCCACCCTTCTCAAAATATGAGAAAAATAATCTCCCTCGCTCAGCAACACACTTTTCAAAACACAACTAAGAGAATCCGCCTAAGAAACCCTTTTCCATGGTAGGAAATATTCCTTTTTGGGCTGCTGGAATTGTATAGAAAGTGCATGGGGGAAAAGGCCAACCAGCAGCAGCACGAAGAAAGCTGCATAGTAAAGAAACTGAAAAAATCAGGCGTGATTAACTTTTCTGGACCACTGAACAACAGTTAATTTTATGTCCTGCCCTCAAAAATAGTCAAAGGCCAAAGGACATATAGAGAGAATAAGAGAGCAGAGCACAAATAGTACTAATTTACAGCTTAAATAAACAGACCTTCTTCATTCCCCAAATATGAATGGGATTATTCCGAAAAGTTTAGAAGGTCATGAAAACTTCAGCAGTAAAGGTAGTACTTATGACTATATAATTGCTATTTATTTGCTGTACTGTTTTTATTTTATTTCTTATTTACTGTTGTTCTGTTGCCCAATAATTGCTTCCTTAAGATAAATTGTTCCAAACCATTGGGGCAAGAATGAAAACGTACATTTTGGAAGAATAAACTGATTGGTTTAAAAAAAAAATATGGCTAAGCTGAATATACTGCATAGTCAAATTAGTCTGTCGGTCTTAGATTCATACCGTTTTTCATTTCTATTTTCCCTCACTTTAAACCTTACAGCAGGGGTGTCAAATTCAATTTCCTTGAGGGCTGCAGAATTGTGTTTAACATCGGAGGAAAGGGAAGGCTGGACATGGGTGGGGCGGCCAGCTCAACCTCACTCGTATCGGGGGCGTCTGTGGCAGCCCGATCACTCTGCCAGTGAAAACGGGCTCCCGAGCTCCATTTTTGACTGCAACGGCTTCCTGCAACCATCTGCCAGCAAAAACAGAGCTCAGGAGGGTCACTCTGTTTTTGCTGGCAGAGGCACCATGGGCCAGTCCTTTGCTGTGTCCAAAGTGGCCCCGCGGGCAGATCTAAGCACCCCGCGGGCCAGATCTGGTTTGACACCCCTGCTTTACAGACGCTGTTTTCAGTGATTTGTCAATGGCAGCCATCAATAAACGCTAACGTTGTTGCTGATTTGGGGCAGGACATTAAAAGCACAACTTGGGTTAGGGGGTAGAGAAGAGGCACCTGTAGCCCTTAGGCTCTCCTCCCTAGGGAAGTTGGAAATGGCATTTGAAAGAAGCATAAAGAAGAAGGAGGGAGGAAAGGAGGAAGAAATCCTCCCTGGATTTTCACGAGGCTAATATCAATGTCCCTTGATTAGTTGAGATACTATCATATGTACCAGCATGTGCAAATCCATGATCAAGCTTACAATTTAGCACCTGGCCTAAAAGGAAGTCAACAAAAAATATGCAATAGCAAGAATTTTACGCTACTGTTTGTTCAGCTCTGCATATAGTTAATGATTTAATAGAATTGGGTGATAAAAGGGGCCAATAAAGAAAAAATGTAGCCTACTGATTCAGTTGTAGAGTTACAACAGAAGGGTTTAGCAAACTTTGGTCATAACAGACTCTATCCATTTTTTGTGCAGGAATAAAGTTTCATTTGTGCCCTTTCAAACATGAATAAAATAAAATAAATTACATTTGCATGCATAAAATTCCATTCCCATTTTACAAATGCATATGCATGCATAGAATTCTGTGAGCTGAAGTCCACACATGTTCTTTATTTCCCTTACTATAACGGAAACAGATGGCTAAATACTTTAACAGTACACTGTTTATGTCAGTGCCATGATTTAAAAAAAATCCATTTCCTACATTACTACATGCCTAGGGAGAATTATGATTATGGGATGGGCAGCAGCTGCTATAGCATGTTATTGTCCTCAGCAGCTATGTAGTAGTTGGCAGTCAAGCAGACTTGATAGGGTTACTGATAACTATGAGAAGGCATCGCAAAAGGACAGGGAATATGACTTTTAACATTATTATTTCATGACCAGAGATTTTAAAAACAAAAACTCCCTAGGGAGAAGACTACAGAAGGACATTGATGATAGTATTATAATATTTTTCTATAAACTAGAAAAAAGACAAAAGAAATAAACATCCAATTTCAATGATCAGAGTTGTCTAATACCAATGGCAATTTAGCAAAAATATTACCAGTGGAGAAATCAGCAAGCAAACAGCAAAGAACTTTCCCATCAGTCTACCCAAAGTTATGAATTTTGTTTACCATTGTGATAGAAGGAGCAGTGATGAAAAATATGGCTTATTGAATCAGCTGTGGAGTCATCACTCACACACACTGTCAGGCTTGCAGCCATCTTTTCTTTTGGGTCTTTGGCCTGCCACACTTTCTATTATTCTATTATGCATTTTCTATTGTGGGGAAATGGGAGGGGAGATTGTAAGGAGTGAGATGCTATGCAGCCATAACACAAATTCTTCCTAGAAAGCCAAGGTCATCCTTTGTCTCTGCACCTCTGCCGGAACTGGATGGGTGGAACTGCCAGCATGGCAGTAGAAGATGGGACCATGTGATGGACTTGTGGGTATGCGGGCAAGATCTTGAACTTTCAACTGGGTGGGGAAAACCGGGAAGCT